CTAAAAAATAAGGGTGTTAAAAGGGTTGGGTACTTAAACTCGTAGCTAACTTTGTGATCCGAACTGGTTCTATCAATTCGACACATTTGAATCGTGATCAGTCTAGGATCAAAGGGAACTCCAATATCTGGTTACCTTGCGAAGCAGTGTGAAGAGTACGCCGAGATCACGATCTGAACAAAGCACCTGCTGAGGTTTCGAACTGACCTGCAATGGGCCAAATAGCGGGACTAGCTTTCCATTGTGATTCCAACGCTCTAGTCAGTTTAGGGATAAAAGAGAATAGATAAAGTAATAGTATTGTGAAGCGTACCTTTTCTGATCCTTTCATTCATTATTTATAGTCATTTGGAATAGTTATGTGCGAGTCCGAAGTTATCCCTCTACCCTTAGTAGTTATCCCGTTCTTAAATATGAGTCCTACTAGATCACGAGAGGTGGAATTCCTCTTGAACTCTACCTTGGGCCTTATCCCGGCGGATCAGGAGTCCTTAGTCAGTTCAGCCTCTAGAAGATTCGTGGTTGAAGGCCAAATAGACTCGTCAACAAGGCCGAACTGACACGTGTCCGTAGAGAATTGGCCCTCCTATACAGTAGGTACTCGATATGTTACCAATTTAAAAAAAAAAAATCAAAATTTTCATCATTGAGAATTAAAAAAACACTTAAAAGTCTAAAAAAATTTATTTAAATTTAATTCATTATTTGTTAAGAGGGATCACATAACCATCAATGCTCACATATTCATAGTAAATAAGTTTTTAAATAACACTTATCCTCAACAACAAAAAAATAAATATATTACATAATTAACAAGGAGATCTTGATCTAGTAACTAAGGTCGAGCCTTTAGGACTTAGAGTTTTCATGTACTGATTCTTGAATATCCGCCATGGCCAAATATTCATGTGTGACTTTCTCAAATTTTACACTTGTGATGCATGTTCCTTCTATTTCTCGAAACAAAACTTGTAACATTGTAATGCCTGTTGTATTAGATTAATCTTTCATCAGTGGAGACAGAATAAATCACGGCGAATTTCTTAGTATATTGCCAATTTTGAAAAAGTTCACAAAATTGGGGGTATTCGGGGTGGGATGCTGAGTAAGGTGTCGCCGCACTTGAGAGTTGAGTCTACTAATAAAAATATTTTTAATTTTTATTTATTTTAATTTCATGTATTTTGGGTCAGTTTTTGTAAAAAAAAAAAAAAGGAATGTTAAGTAATTGCTTCGCCGCTCATCAGATGAGCGGCGAAAAAGAATGTTGGTCAAATTGCTTCGCCGCTCAATTGATGAGCGGCGAAGCTTTTGTCCTTATGTTCTAGTTTTTTTACTTTTTTTTTTCGAAGCATTCTTCCTACCTTTTTATTGTTTCATATGTAATTTTTAATATGTAATTTTTAATAAGTGTGGCCGCTCATTCTAATTTATTTTTTTTACAAAGCATTCTGCCTACCTTTTATTATTTCATATGTAATTTTTAATAAGTTATTTAATGTTTAATAAAGGCAGCGCGACCAAGTTTTTTCCTGCCCTTTTTACGTAACCCTTAAATAGGTGTAATTAGAATTTTACGTTTTACATGAAATACTAATTTTCAAATTACAGTATATCACTTTTTTAATTAAAATTCTTAAATCATATTATTAAAATTCTATTATAAACCAAAATTATAAAAATTTAAAATATGATATTAGAATAATGTGAAATTTATAAATTAACATGATAATCGAGTATGCTATTAAATTACTAATAAAATTTACTTAAGTCATATTTTTAAATTTTATAATATTATTATCGCAATTAATAATGATAAATAATACAATATATTGGGAGGTTGTGTTATATTAAGTCATATTAATAATACAATATTAAGTCATATTATTGTATTGTTTATGGTTGTGTTATATTAAGTCATATTATTGTATTATTTATCATTATTGATTGCGATAATAATATTATAAAATTTAAAAATATGACTTAAGTAAATTTTATTAGTAATTTAATAGCATACTCGATTATCATGTTAATTTATAAATTTCTCATTATTCTAATATCATATTTTAAATTTTTGATAATTTTGGTTTATAATAGAATTTTAGTAATATGATTTAAGAATTTTAATTTAAAAGTATTACACTGTAATTTGAAAATTAGTATTTCATGTAAAACGTAAAATCCTAATTACGCCTATTTAAGGTTACATAAAAACGTCAGGAAAACACCTGGTCCCTCTGTCTTTTATTAAACATTAAATAACTTATTAAAAATTACATATAAAATAATAATGGGTAGGTAGAATGCTTCGTAAAAAAAAAATAAACTAGAATGAGTGGTGACACTTATTAAAATTTACATATGAAATAATAAATAACTTATTACATTTATTACATATGAAATTAAATATTAAATAACTTATTAAAAATTACATATGAAATAATAAAAGTTAGTATGAAATAATAAAAGTTAGGAAGAATGCTTCGAAAAAGAAAAAAAAAAGGGACAAAAGCTTAGCCGCTCATCTGATTAGCGGCGAAGCAATTTGACCTCCACAGTCCCATCAACCAATTCCATTAGCGAATAAGGACAAAAGCTTAGCCGCTCATCAGATGAGCGGCGAAGCAATTTGACCAATATTCCTTCTCCGCTCATTTCATGTGCAGCAAAGGGGTTTAAACAAAAAAAAGGGACCCAAAATACATGAAACCAAAATAAATGAGAATTAAAAGGGTTTTTATTAGTAGCCTCTATTCTCACTTGCGGCGACCCCTTAATTAGCAAGCCCCCTGGATGACCCAATTTTCTGAGCTTTTTCAAATTTAACAATATTCTAAGAAATTCGCCAATAAATCACCCATAATGAATACATTTATAGTCTATTTTGAATTCAACACACTTTTATTCCGGGGAAGCGTGCCATAAATGTTTTCAGCTGTATGTGCATCATATGGAAAGTAATAATTATATTAATTGGATTTTCCAAATCCCATGAACAAAATAGTTAGTGAACATTAATGGCAGCTACTTTTTCCTAGTATAAATAAGGGTTTGGGCTATGCGATCAGATGTCAAGCATTACTAAGAGAGAAACAAAATGGAGGCCAAGAAGATGGGTGTTGCTCTGATGATGCTGTTATTTTTCACCGTGGCAATGGCGGCCTCAAACAAAGGCGAAGATCCAATTACTGGGGTCTTTGCCAACAACCTTTGTCGTCGCTTATGTGCCCTTTCTTGTGTGGATGAAGTTGGAATCACGAATTTTGACTGCGCCGCGAAATGTGATCAGGTTTGCGATTCGAGCCCCGCCCCTGCTGATGCACCGTCAATCGCAGATCCATCCGAGACGGAAATGATGTAGAGAATTGATCTCGACCTTTATTTCATGTGTCAACTCCTCTAGTCTTGTACTAAGAGAAAAGATAAATGGAGCAATACTATTTATAATTTATTTGATACATTCTTGATCTATTGCTTCAAAGTTTTTTTTCAAAAAGAAAAAGCCCAAAAAAAAGTGTCGATTGTTCGTTGGGTCATTTGGTATCCTTCCCGATCTCCTGTCTCTGATGCTTTTATGTTGCTAGATATAAAGTGGGATGTCTTGAATCTAGTTTGGAGTTGCTAGCCGCTAGAACAATGAGAATGGGACAAACCAAATTGAAATTCGGAAACCGGGTGAATGTGAAAACAGGGGTTAGTAAACGATTTGCTGATTGGTATAAGAATTCGAGGAAATCAACTTTTGGTTACACAACCGAACGGGCGTCTGACCGCAAAGCTAGTCCGAGAGTTGGATTAGAAGGTCAAATAGGAACCAACCATTTTGCATGACTCGCACAAACATCCTCCCAATGTTTTGAGGCCTAATATCCTGGTACGGCTGGCCCCAAAACCCGTCAAATAAAAAGCAAGCCTTAACACCCTTTTTTTTTCTTTTTTTTGAGATTTGAAATGCAAAATTTTTTACTTATACTTTTTTTCCATAGGCCTGTTAATGGTCTGGTTTTAGACTCGAACCCGACTCAAATCCTCTATTTTTTCTTAGGTACGAATATAAATATAATTTCATTTGTCTGACCCAAACTCGAATTCGTTTTTCCTAATAAAAAAGCTAATTGTATGCGGAATATTGAATTTCAACTCCTATGCTACCCGTTTTTCCTCATAGGCTTGTCAACGACTTGGGTTTAGACCCAAACCCAACTTGAATCCGCTATTTGTTTTCACTATTTGTTTCCATAGTACGATTATAGATATAATTACATTTGTCCAACTCGGAATCAGATCCAAACCTGTTTTTTCTAATTAAAAAAACAGGTCGAATACGAAATATTGAATTTATATCCCTATCCTACCCAAATCCGTTTGAATGAATTAATAGTTATAAAATATATATACATATTGGATTATATATATACATATTAATAATTAAAAAATATATGTACATATCAATATATAATTTTGGGTACGGGAATACTCAGCCCGTATCTGAACCCAACCGGATTGGGATTTGGAAGATCAAATATAAGATCCGTGGAATATACGAGTCAAATCCGAAACAAGTACAAATAAATGGGTCCAAGTCCTGAATATTCAATTCTGAACCGAACCTGACATGTTGACAATGTTGACAGGTATACTCGGCCAACCCTCCCCCCGGGCGCCGCCAACCCCCCCCCCCCCCCCCCCCCCCCCCCGGGCGCCTTAACCTTCTTAGCCTTATATACCAAAGGCGCCTTATATTCATATACCAAAGGCACATTAAAGACTCGAGTGAAGGAAGAATTTTGACTAACAAAGGTAGCTAAAATATGAGAGCGGTTAGCAAAGCTGGAGAAGAGAATCACAACACAGCTTGGCTTTTTGCTTATATGCTCTGGAGGGATTTTACTTAATTCATACCTCTAAATTTAGTCAGTTTTTAGAGGGGGCATTGGTATTCTAAAATTTGAAAAGCTTTATTAGTCCTGCAATAATGACAAAGGCCGTACAAATTGTTGCTATGCAACTGAAACTGTTCCATCACCCCCCTGACAATCTGCAACAGTCACATTTCCTTTTATGATTTTGTAGGAATGCCTCCTAGCAAAGAAGAAATAGAGACATAGATTTAGACCAGCCATGGCTGTTAATAGCCAGTAAAACTTATCCAAACGACTGCCATTCAAGTCCTTGCTGAGCCAACTAACCCCAGACTTCTGTGTCACGTGCGCTACAATAGTTATCAGGAAGCTGCTGATGAATTGTGATACTCCCATCGCACTCAAAAAGAATGCCAGACCTAAACTCCTCATTGAGTCTGGAACTTGTTCATAAAAGTACTCCTGCAAACCAACAAGAGAGAAGGCGTCTCCACTGGCCAAAATCATGATCTGAGGAGCCAGCCAAAATACACTCATGGGGGCTGACTCCCCTGCTTTTCCTTGGAGTACAGCTTCTGTTTCGGCCATTCTTAGCCTCCTCCTTTCTACTAATGCTGCAATTGCCATTCCTAAGACTGGAAAGACCATCCCTACGCCTATTCTCTGAAGGATTTTTATGCCACGCTCGTTGCCTCTGGCTCTTCTTACAACCGGAACTAGGATCTTCTCGTAGGATGTAATTGTGAGTAACATGGTCAGTGCACCAAGAAATCCCACAGTAGCAGGTGGAATTTCAAATTTGCTGCCTATTTTTCTGTCCATTGCGCTGCTTTGCTTAACGAATAGTGTTACAGCCGGAGAATTACAAACGCCGAATATTAAGGAAGTGAACCATATTGGAAACATATTCATTATAAGCTTGGTCTCCTCAACCATAGTAACTGTAACTAATCTCCATGGATTATGCTTCCTCTGTTGCAACTGCATGTCATTATCTTCAAATATTGCAGCTTTGTCAAGAAATCTGAGGACCAGAGTACAGCAGAACGAAATTAAGGCTTGTCATTCGGCAAGCACTGGAATGCAAATAATCACTTTTAACTTCTCCTTACCTGAGACTACTCGTGTGACATAGTAACCTTCCTTTAATGTGTTCAGATCTCGGAACTTCATATAATAAATCAGGGTTTGAAGGATGCGGTAGATTTCTCTTGATTATTGCTGCGACCAGAACCTGATACATTGGCATCAACGGGCTGCCCTCTGGCACCCGATATCGATAAAATGGCTTGCCGAGATAGAAAACTATGAAGCCTATGGCCATACCAAGAGTCAAAACTAGACTTGCGACACCCCAGCCAACATGATCTTGCACATAAACAATGACTGTCAAACTTAGCAAGACCCCAGAACAAAGTACAAAATTCCACCAGTTAAAAAATGACATTTTCTGCTTTCTTTCCTCTAAGTGATTATCATCAAACTGATCCGCTCCAAAGCTTTCTAAACTAGGCTTGAATCCTCCGGTTCCTAAGGAGAGAGAGTATAGTGCGATGAAGAAGGCCATTTCATGAACTTTTCTGGGATGGCCACAGTTGTCAATATTGCATGGCTTTATGCTGGGGATGAGTTCAGACATTGTTAGGAGGCTCAAACCCTGTAATCCAAGTCAATTAACTTTGCAGCTAAGTTGGCAATCTGGATTCCACGTATGACTATATATGGCTTTATCAAACCAAAGTTGACCCAAATGAAAAAAAAAAAATTTACCAAGAGATAAATGATGGAAGAAAGCAGGATCATAAAGAATCGGCCAAGATATGCATCTGCCAGAAACGCTCCGAATAAAGGCATCAATGTTGTGGCTCCCGTCCAATAGTTGACATTCTTTACTGCAGTTTTGAGATCCTGATGTAGCACCTCTGTTAGGTAGATGACAAGGTTCATTGCTATTGCGAAGTATGCCAGTCTTTCACTGAACTCAATCGCTTTGCGATGCCAATGCGTGAGCAAGATTTTTTTTTTTTTTTTTGGCCAACGAGACAACCAAAATTAGTGATTTAACTAATAAAAGTAACAAGATAAAAAAGAGAGGTTACATTCAGTTGAAGAACCATTTTTGAATCATGGAATGAGTAATTTTTAATGTCGAAGCTTTACATCCAAATTCGAGTTACCAATTATTGCTACCGTACATCTTGTACCGTAGAGTTTCCAATTAGCCCAAATCACACCAACCACAGACTAGCGAAGACTATTTGATGCATATCAAGCCCCACTTTCATCTTAGGAGTAGCAAGTACATCAGTCCTTAGAATTCAAGAAAATGAATGCATGCACCTTTTATATTGTTGTCTACTTCTATTGAAATGTGAAAGGACATACTTAATATTTTAACCTGCAAAACGTCCAAAAATAAAAATTAGGGGCACGTATCAATTATGTGTAAACATTGGGGGGTCAAAGTGGGATTAGTCCAAACGGAGGAGGAAAAGTAGGAGCTTTTGGGGAGAATTTATGGTTTTAAGCCAGGAAAAATGATTTTCAAAAACGACGAAATAACTGTTGTGCGGAGACTTCTTTATCTTTTGTTACTCAACAACCGAGAAAAAGGACCAAATTGAGGCCACGTAGAAGCAAGCAGCGACGAATTAAAACACCAAAAAAGCATACGTACATTAGTGTCGTAAGAAAAAGAAATGCCAATGAAGGCCTTACAAATGATGAAGATGGAAGCTTTCCATGCACCCGTTGAACTTCGTAATGGGACGTTTCCTTTATGATCTATGGATGAATCATGTACCCGCTTGTAGTCTTGATCATCAGCTGGTTTTGTTTCACCGTTGCTCGTCTTCTGGATTTCTTGCTCCATATCCGTTTTGACTGAACTCATCACAATGGTCAAAGGCCACCAAACTTTAGAGTAGGAATTCTTGAATTGGGAATCCCGCTATTGGGCGTGGACATCTCAGCTTGTAACGAGTTTTTATATGAACTCTCTACGTTTCTACTTCACATGTTAGGTTTGGTTTTTTATTACTTGTCTAGGCAAAAGTTTGGAAACAGAAAAACAAAAACATTGAATATTTCAAGCCTACAACATGATAGTGGGTTAGTAAATTAATGTGTTCAATTAACTCCCATTTTTACGCAAAGTGATCAGCACTTCTATTAAACGAGCACCAACCTTACATATGGAATCAGCTTTGGCACGTATTGAATTGTTCAAATCGTTTCTAAGTACTTTTATCCTGAAAGCCATATATTCCTCTAAAGTATCATCATCACAAGATAAAATCCTACCAGGATTGTCTTGAAGAAGAAAAATACAAATACGACACCGCACAAAGGCATGCTACGGAAAAGCGCACACAACGACGCAGCTCAACTTTGGATCTGATACTCCTTCAAAAGTCCAATGTCACATACAGGCGTGGATGATAATTCCTGTTTATAATAACCAAAAGTTTTAGAGGAACAGATTCTTCAAAGTTTCAAACATGAGGGATTTCATAATCTATTGAACGAAACAGTTTTAGAATTACCTAGTGTGTTATCTGCAACCCACCAGTAGATTTAAAGTTTTCAAGATGATACCTTTAGTCTACAAATAATTTTGAGATTGAATATCTGTTACAGGCTAACAACAGTACGCAGGAAGCATTGAGCAATTAATTGTATGCTGGGTTCTGGATGGAAACAACAGATTGACGATATAATATACCAAAAGGTGAAAGAAAGGTCCGTGGTTTTCTAATACGGGCCTCCATTGCCAAAAGATGAAAGGTCATGCATGCGCCATATGACTATTCAAGCTCGGGAATTCAAAATATATACTAGATAACAACGAAAATATATAAAGTGTCGTATTAAAGAGATTGAGTCTTGGAGGCCTGACTGATCACTTGCGTAATCTAAAACACTGGTGCAAATTTCGCAAATTCTACTGACTATTCTACAAATAAATTCCTGTTTATGTGGTTGTGGGGATGTCTCCGCGCATAAAACACATAGAAACATAGATTGAGGCCACTTGCGATGGTCATCAACTAATCTAATTTATTCAACCGACTGCTGTTCAACTCTTCGCCGATCCAACTTGTCCCAAACATCTCGCTGATTAGCTCTACCAGAGATGCGAGATAAAATGCCATCCCTAAACCTTGCATTGAATCAGGCATCTGCTCATACAAGTACTCTTGGAAACCCACGAGAGAAAATGTCTCTGCAATTCCCAGGATTATAGTCTGAGGAGCTAGCCCGAGCACACTCAGAGTCATTGACGGAGATAGCGCTGATTCAACCATTCGTAACCTCTTCTTCTTTCTACTAATGCAGCAATTGCAAATGCCAGGACTGAAAATGCCAGACCTATACCCATCCTTTGAAGGATATTCAGGCCACGATTGTTGCCTGCAGCTCGTCTTAGAAATGGGATGAGGTTATTCTCAAGAAACATATTCGCAAGAAACGGTGCTATTTGGATGCAAAAGTCCAGTTGCATGTATTTGGTGAAATTTATACATATCCAAAGAAGGCAGAACTAGCTTTAACATGTTCTGTAATTTCCACGAGGTGTTACTAACAAATTTATGTGAAAAGAACTGGAGTAACGATACGAGATTCCCAGATTCAATTGACGAAAAAAAAAGAAAAGACTGAATGTAATGCGACAAAAGCGAAGGGCCGGAAAAACCCACGGTGTCAACTTTTGTCTCATCTACTCTTCAGAAGATACAAAATGAAACAAGCGACATAACCAACTACAAAATGCAATCTGGCGCCAGTCTCTATTCCAACAACAAAAGCCATCTTGAAACCACAACTGTAGTGTATGCCGCCAAATAAATGTGGTTTCATTGCTTGAATATTCAGCAAGGTCAAAAAACACTACTTGACCAACCTCAATACATCACCCACAAGATGTAAGGAGCCTGTTACCAAGACCTAATGAAGAAACAAAGGGAAAATTAATATGATGGGTGGCGAATGCAAAGCATAGCGTTAATTTCATAATACAAGTCTTAAGATCAATTATATAGACTAAATTGCTCATAAATGTGTCTGCGCGCATGCACTCGTGTGAAGACATATGGCAGAATATGGAGCACTAGCCACACAGAAGATCAGTCATGGCTGTCCGAGTTTGTAATATCTACAACTAGAAAGAATGTCTTGTCCAACTAATGACTGGCTCAATGGTACTTCAAGCTGGGACCTTTTACGCCAAGACTTCAGCCTTCATCCTCATTTGTCAGTTTGATATCTATGGTAGACTATTAAAACCCATCCCACTTTAGAATTGCCCGTGTTTCTAGATATTCTAAAGCTTAGTTGTGCTAGAAGTACTAAAAGAGTCCAATTTTAGATGTTGTTTATGTGATTCTGGAAGCCCTAATAGATGTATCATTATGAGCACCTGATGCAGTTCATAAATTGCAATTAAATGGGGCTTCCATCTGCCATCTTCATGACTGGAAATTGTTAACTTTGTCAGATTTATTTAGAGAGAGAGAGAGCAGGCTCAACTGGATTGACTGTAATCATGAAAAAAAAAAAAGCAATATTTAATCCCTGACCCACCAAGGATGGAAGCTTGCTCACAGCTTAAAGCTGAATAGAAATTATTCATGATTAGTTTTTCATTTGTTTTCTGTGTGATAGCAACAAATTTCCTAGCCATGTAACGCCATGTAATGGCACTCCAAAATGGTTGCGCACAGTACAAAATATTCTGTAACCAATATTGAATCTTATTTTCAAAAATCCCCATCACAAAAAGTTTTCTGTTGCAAAAATGGAATCTCAAAATCGTACCTAGCAATCTATGGGATAAGTATTCAGTCTACAATAACAGAGAATATAATCCTATCATACAAACTAATACAAGATCATGTTAGGTCTTGATTTTGTTGTTGTTTAGTATATTTTAAGTCATGCTTAGTTGCTATGGATGCCAGTAAATTTAGAAATTACTTTCTAGATGGGGCAAATGTGCTAAGCATGTCCTTTATTAGGGGTGTTTTGTTCTTTTGACATTTTAGGGCAACAATGTGTTCGGAGGCATATATGTATTCATCTGATATACTGCACCCAGCAGTTTTTCACATCAGTCACTATCTAACAGGTTTCCTGCTAGCTTTCTTCACCACAAACATATTATGGTCTCCTCAGATGACATCATTCAGCAATATCAGCATGTGCTAGGCAGAGGGTCACATTACCTGAAATCGTACAGACTTTTTCCTTCTAATACATTCCCTCAGCCAATTGACTGCCAATGGAATTGAGGGAAACACAGAGCTGTGCTCACAAATTAGAGAATTGTCGCCATCTATTCCTTCTTCCAAACTCAAGTCCACATTCTTCACGTCTCTGCCTGTAAGAAATCATGCATCAGGTTAAAGTACGATGGAAAGTTATATTCCATGCAAGTGAATCCATGAAAAACAAGTGACATCAATACATCATTCACAAGAGGGAGAAATAGAAGCAGTATGCTCAAATACAATCTGTCTCCTGCACCATCACATAGAAATCTCTGCAACAGGTTCAGGTAAACTAATCCTGATATTTATGTTCTTCAAGAAAGAAAGTCTAGGATTAACCAATTTGGTAACCACTCCCTGTTCGAAACTCTTCAGATGCAAAACATAGGGAGTCACGTAGTACATCTATAACACGTCAGACCAATACCTTTTAAATCACACATGAGGTTTTCCCATATTCTTTGAAGAGACAACTGCCATGAAAGGTTAACTTGAGTATCAGCTGGTGGTACAGAACTGGTGCCCACCTTGTAATACACTGATGTGTTTGGTACAAAAAGTGCCTTCTGAAAGTAAACTCCTGAGATACAATAAGCAGTAAAGAGTCATAGATAACCAAAACTCCTGAAATATGATTGTATGGGTCATAAATATACCAAAACAACTCTTTTAGAGCAATGAATTCATTTTTGCCATGAATCAGCTATCTTAGAACTATAAAACTGCTCAAGTGCACTCATTTCCAGCAGTTCTGAAATCCACGCAAAACAACTAAGAGCTAAATACTCCAATGCAAATTGGCAAACATCATCCAATTTCATATGTTCACTATGCTGAAGTACTTACCCTGATTAGCACACGCATTCATCAGGCGTGAAAGCAGTAATTGAGGATCCCTGACGGACATACAATTGAACAATAAAATCTGCATAGATTTACAACAACTCCAACTCAGTAGCATAAATCAGATATTATTTATCAGCCAAGTATCAAAAAAATTCCATGTGTGATTTAATGAAAGATATCAAATCCCATCAAAATAAAGCTATTAAAAGGCACCTATGAGCAAAATAAAATATAAAATGCAGATATCTGGAAAGAACTGAGACAGTCATCCAGATGAGAGATTATTTACAGGAAGGATTAAGCAAGCCACTAGGATATTATTTGTAGCATCAATTTGTCTTCGAAGATTCTCTCCAGGCAAAATACAGCTCCACAGGATGAGTATTAGGTACTGTAACAATCCAGAATACTTACCAGGTTGCATGTTATGCTATCAATTTCGCATTTTCAAAATCTACATAAATAAACTTTTTTAGAACTTTTATTACATCCGGGAGAAAGAACCATTGTTATTTGGATCATCCATATCTAGTTTAAACAAGCACTAAAGGGATTCTGAAAGAAATAACATTGGATATTACAAGGGGAAGTGGTCGAAGGAAGAAGTGAGAAGAAGAATGAGACCAGCAAGAAATGATCTCATCCTAAGACAACGAACAAAGACTGTTAACCACTGTCTATGTAAAATTCCCAAGAAAATCAATAAAGTTGAAGATATTTGAGGTATCCCTGAATTCCCCTTCCTCCCAAAACTCCC